GAATGCCGCGAAAAACAAACACAACACATATAAAGTGGGAAAGAGCTTTGCGATTGACTGTACAACTAGATTCGACAACAAAATCGGAGGTATATTTTTACAGACTGCTATAGAAAGAGGAGCAAATGGATCACAGCAATTCAAACAACTGGACTCCAGTCAGCCAAAGCTGGACTTGCAGTTATCATTTTGTGTCAATATGCTGAATTTAGCTGTAAAACCATACCCATATATTTTGTATTGTTATATATATATATATATATATATATATATATATATATATATATATATATATTAACAACTTATCAATTAAATATTTATCATTGCATATTCTGCATTATTGGATATTTTTTAATAACACTGACTAAAATTCGACGATACGGCTGGACAATATGATGATATACAGTATATAGGATAGCCTATACTGTATATAACACTGATATAAGTGATCACCCGGATTTAGACCTACCTATATTGTATTTGTATAAAGCGTTCACACGCAGATTTGCTTTATGTTTAGGTCTATATTGCTTTAAAGTCCCTGTAAAGTCAAAATGTTCTGAGTTTGTGACACCACAGAAAAATGTGTTATTAGCCACCCAGCCAAAATTGAATGATAAAAAAGCCGGCAAGTACATAAAATAAGCTATCAAAATCATAAAAAAATGAGCAGTTATCTTATCTCTCTTCTCAAACGCTGGGGGCGTGTCCGCTGGCTGCGTGGAAACCACGCCCACTCACGGGAAAACTGTCGACGCCGACGGTCGGTGATATTAGCTGATTAGCTTCTGGAGACGGGAGGATGAACGCTGAGGCGGGAGATAGCCGTTTAGGCCCAGTTCACCAGTAACAGCGGATTATCAGTGAATAATCAGTGAATCCCAGTTGTCTCTGAGGAAAGTTTATAAAACGATCCAGTGTAAAACGATCACTACAGAGGCGGCTGTTGGCGGTTATCCTCAGCTCTTCATCAACAAGGTTGGCTCTCTAAAAAAAACCTCTTCTTGATGTGATCATTTTAGGGAATTTAAATGAAAATATCGATCTGTTTTGTACATGATCGCATCCAGGTAATAGCCTATGCATTTCTGTGTCAAATAGCTAGCTAGAAAACTGTAGGCTATAGATTGACAGTCAGTCACTCGCGATTGAGCGGCGAATGTGCTCTATTGTTAGGGGAGAGATGAGATCAGCAAAATGCGTCATCAAATAGGGGCTTGTCTAGGCGCTCATGGGCTCCAGTGCGTCATCTAGCCCTGTTTTAGCCCCGCCCAAAAAAAATCCGTAAAAATGCAAATACATACAGTCGGCAACGCGTCATAGTTGGGGGGCGTGGTCGGCGTGGGGGAAAGCAGCGCGACCATCTATGTATTTGAATGACAAAAATGTCATATTGCGAGTCATTTATGCCTGCCGACCAGCAATGGTACATTGCAAAATGAACTGTAATAGGTTATGATTGCCCTTATTTAATTAAAACGGGGTCAATGACCCAACCAAATGGCCGGAGGTGTCGTTTCCAGACTATTGTTATCTGGTTGAATCTTCAGGTAAGACATCGCGGAAGCTACCGGCAACACAAGCCTATTACTCAAACAACTTGCCTATAAGTTACTATAAGTCCATAAAACCATGTCACTTACCAATTGTACGTTATATGCTTCACTCCAAACTATTAGCCTAATCCTTTTGTAAAACGGTGATCAGTTAGCTACGAAGTTGCAGAGGGACTTTGCTGACAGTTATCCGAATTGTCAGACTGCAGTCTGATAACCTTCAGCTGATAAGACATCCCTTATGAAAAACAACTAAAGGAATCTTGTAGTGTTTTAGGACAAAATGTTATAGTAACGAATACTATAGTATTTTGGGACATAGCCTAGAAGTATAGAGGTATTAAAGAACATCACAGAAGTATTATACACTACTATAGAATACTAATAGCCATATATAAGATTACTAAAGTTCTTTTTCGTACGGGATGTAACGTCAGACAAATCTGGCCCACTGCCTAATACGAGTCAAACATCTACTTCTATGTCACACAGGGATCTCTACTCACACAGTAATCTAATAAGATATGATTAATTTTGCCATTTTGTCCTCCTATCCGGTTCTGTATGTATGTAAGAAAGGCTGTAGAACTTCAATTTATAATTTGTTAGTTTATTGGTGGTACAGAAAACGACACCGCAACTCTTCGGCATGATTGTCCCATGTATTTCAATGAGCGCCAAGGCAATGTTTTCCCCCACGGGCTAAATTCACACCACGTGACGGGGCGTTCCCGGGGGCGTTCCCAGACCAACCGACTGTATCTATGGTGAAAAACTGTTTAACGGTCTAACTCCACATTTCAGTACTTCACAGTTCACAGTCTTTGTAATATGTTTTAGCAATACATATGTAACATTTATAACATTTATAATGCGTTTAGAACTTTTTTTGTAGAATTGCCTTTACAGGGACTTTAACATGAAGTCACTTTAACATGAGGCAAACATGTCAGGCAACACGATTCCTGGCTGCATGTCGATATCCATGAATCACTAGATCTTTAGTAATTTTTAAGGAACACTATATTGAGTCCAACATTTAGTTTAAATTGATAAAATTGTTCGTTTTAGTCGCGGTTTCCCCTATTAAATCCAGTCACGCAGCTGATCTTTAGCACTCAGTCAGGCTGAGGGGGGTTGTTTTGGCGGGAAAGTGACGTCAATGAATTCCCTCTATTGGCAGAACAAGAGGAGAAGAAAGAGTTGATAAGGAAGAAACGGAAAAATAGGATATGTATAAAAAGGAGAGGAAGAAGAGCATTGAAAGAGAGAGATGACGTGTTGAAGAATTGGAGAGAAGAGATAAAAAGGGTTCAAACGAGCTCCTCTTATAAATCAGCGATCAGAGGATCCCAAATCACAGTCGTGTGTGTTCTGATCGTCGTATAGCCTACAAGACCTGATTTTATACAGTAAACGCGTTATTAAATGCGTTATTGATGAGAATACTATGCTTACACATTTACTAGCTACATTATGCGATAAACCTGAACTTTTTGCTGAATGTTTCTGTATTCATTGTTTTTGAAATCATTAACTTAGTTCGAGAATTTTTGTAAAATCAGTTGAGAAAAAACTTTGTATGACGTTATAAAACCATAAAGACAAATTGCTTTGAATTGAAATGCTGTTCAGCATAACAGATAGTGGTTTGTGAGTAAAATTACAATTCGATTCAATCTCCTTGTTTGATAAACCTGGAAGGCCTGGAAAATGATACATGAATTAAATACCCATTGTGATACTGTTGTCAATTACAATAAATATAACAAATTTATATGCAATTGTGAATCATGGGTGGATCCGTCCCCCGTTTTTCTTTGTTTTGTGTTTTATGGCCTCGCCCATGATATACATCAGCAACATAATGACGTGCATGCATGTGTTATATGGTATTTTGGTGTGTGGCAAAATGCTGCTTCTTTTTACTTTCAAGCTATTTTAATACCTGGCAGCTTTGACTGAGAAGCATCCGTCAGTTAGGGCGGATCAAAGCCTGCCCAGCCGTACGGAGACACACCTGTGAACATTCATGATCTGATATGAAGAGAATAACTGAACCTCACCCTAGCTGAACCCTCTGAAAGACAATTGCAACCAGTACTGCAACATTCTGCGGATCCTTTACAGAATAATAACAAGCATTGCCACACACATTTGACGCAAATAAGTATCAGTATCATCACTATAGTAGCCTACTTAAAACAATCTCACAGATGGTAATACCAATATCAATACCACATTTATCTCAATAGGGTAATTCATGTTATATTAAAGGCTACTCAAAAACAAAAGGGAAAATAGACAGATTATGAAGCCATCCCCTTACCCTGCCCCCTCCCTTCATTTCAGATATGAACAATAATGTTTCTGATGACTTTTTTACCCTTTATGTAAAGATTAATTTATTACATTATACATGCAAATCAAAATTAAATAGCTAATATTTTTATGCTAGTAGGTGAGCACATAACATTCATTAAAAAAAGAATAAGATAAAAAAAAAATACATTTTGGAACAAGGAACTAGTCACTTCAATATTCATTAAAAAAAGTATTAATATAAATCGAATAAACACACATGTGTGTAAAGAACACCAGTGGCGCCCCCATGTGGTCACGACGATCATGCTCTGATGACGCAGCAGATTAGATCTGTGCGTGGGCATGATGCTTTTAAAAACAAAACAAAAAATGATGCTATAAATACTGATACAGTAATTTATTAGTTCTCTGTTTTTAAACGAGATTGTAACCAAATCTTGATCTACTGTTTATTGGGTTACATTTGTTAATGAACTTGATTGGGATTTGAGAAAGTCTTTGGTTATTGCCTCGTAAGTTTTTTTTTCTTTGTTACAAACAAGGTGAAAGAAAAAATACACTAATTCTACCCTGTCAAAATAGTTACTCTTTTTGCTCTCTGCAATTGGAAACAGTAGATAGTCTACCCCACATTTTCTGGGAATGTAGTATAGGCTAGTCATGTATGTCATTATATATTTGATATTTAAAGTATAGCATTTCGGAAACAAATAGCCTATCTAAAGTTTTTTTTTTTTTTTTTTTTAATCTACCTAACTATTAAGTTAATCGTAAGCGAAAGGCTTTTCTGTGGTCACTGTAAAGTTACATGGTTTACTTTGAGCTTTTTATTGACATATTTTTTTGCAATTGAAACATTGATTCAATTATTTTAAATAATATATTATGACATGTTAAATCATGACATGGATTTTGGTGTGTTGTTTGAATTTGTAATAAAACTTTGTAAGCAGAGACTTTGTCTCTTCGGTTTGTGTTTGATTTTTACTTTACTTTATTCATTTTAAGTATGCAGGCTATACATTTTTCCAATATTTTAAACAAAACACAGAGAGATATGAAAATGTTTATATATATATATATATATATATATATATATATATATATATATATATATATATATATATATATATATTTAATATTAGACCTTTAAATCCATGTCCTTAGAAGCAGTAGAAGGTCAGGACACCCTTCAGAAATCAAGGCGGCCTATTGCCATCATAAAATTACACAGGGACCGGACAGTTTCACATAATCACAGTTTGGTGAGGATTTCAAAAAATGTAAGTACATTTAAGTACAATTGAAAATAAAGAAAGAAGCAATCAAATCAATTCTTTTTTTTTTTACCATACTGGACAGAGAAAGTAAACTTAATGGTCATCATTATTATTAGGTGCAAATACAAGTCAAAGCAGAACAATTTATCAATCTTAATTGTTCCTAATTCGATGTACAGTGTACAAATCAGATCTTTTTAAAAATGTATAATCAGAGAATTCAAAGGTAATTGTATGTCTAAACATACAGCAAAGTGTAGGCACTAAGGAGTGAAACCATCAAAAGGAACAAGGAACCACACAGGCCTGGTGCCCCGGACCCTTGCACTTTATCTGGGATCGGTATGTCTATGAAGGGGGACAATACATGGTTCAGTGCATGTTGCAAAACATAAATAAATATGGATTAAATGATAAATAACTTTGACATAAGTAAAACATTAAGCATTAATGTTTACCTGAGCTCCGTTCAGACCAAACCAGAGGACCCATGGATATGGAAGCACTGTCATGGAAGTCCAGAGACCTGCGCTCTCTCCGCTGGTGTCCAGAGGAACAGTTCTAAAGATTGAAGATGGATAACCAGAATGTGATGAGGTTTTCACAGTCTACAACAGTATCTTGCATACCTTACACACAGACTGCTTCACTCTAGATGGCGACATAATGCTAAAAACAGATTTTGGCATTAAACGTACAGTATGAGATTTTTGGCCACCAGGGATCACTCGTTTAAAATAAAAACAAAAGACGTACTTTGATGACGTCGGGAAAGAGCGTGGGCTCACGGGAGTTGTTGTCGCTGTCAATGACAACCAGCTCAGCTCATGACATGACATCATCGTTTCACAAAATATACGGATATACGGCATCTCTCTGTAGATTTAGCTTGTCAAGAAGCTTTAAATGCAACCCCAATGTTTACCTGTGTCACGCTTCTCCTGTCCCAAACCCGTCATATTTTTCAGGTACGTTTGAGCTTTAGCTAATGAGCTGGCTGTAGCAGCAGAACGTGCAGGCAAAGCGTAATCGTGGTCCATAACTATAATACAGACGAATATAAATATTAATATTATGCTACTTCAATGAATGACCTATTTTAGAACATTTTTCATATATAGAGCGCACCGGATTATAAAGCACATAACTGATACTGCAGTCAAACGTTTGACTGGGTTTGCGTTATTCATCCACTATGTGCTACTAAGGCTAATAGTGAGTGCGCGGCGCCGGAGGTGAGGCGTTTATTTAGTAAGTATGAGTGAGCTGAAGCGGGCACGTACATTCGCAGCCTGACTCATAAGAGTATTCAATGTGCGCGGCTCGCTAACAGCAACAGTTGGCTGTTTTGAATGAGACGACACGGTTACTGTGAACGGGGAGCGCTTTATGCGCGAGCAGCACCGAGGACAGTGTGTCTGTTAAGAGTGAGCGCTCGTGAGCGGGCACGTGATTTACACACATAAAAATACGTACAACTTTTTTTTCTTCGTCATTTTCTTTGCTTTATTGGCGGTAGTCCAGTGTTCCCCTTTGTGTTTGGCGGTTTCGCCGCGTTCCGCAAGGAAGTTAGAGAAAATAGAGGAGTCAAAGGTTATATGACGCCATAGACGGGCGACGAAACGGAAATAAAGAAACGTCCCGTGTCTTCGAATTAAACTATAAATTTCTCCGTATTTGAAATTTGGTGGAAACTGTCGGGATAATGTAAAGTACATATCTAACAGAAATATATAACATAGATACAGTTATTTTTGATATTTTTAATGCAGAAAAAATACATATTGTGGCTTTAAGACTACAGTATGTTCCAGTGTCTTCGGAAGGAAAAGAACAATCTGACACACAACTATAGTGAACACCAGTGGTGGAGGAAGTACTGAATTTCAGTACTTAAGTAAAAGTACAAATACCCAGATAAATATTTACTTTAGTAAAAGTAGAAGTAACACAATGACAACCATACTTAAGTAAAAAGTACTTTATTTTAAATGTACTTTAAGTATCAAAAGTAAAAGTACTTGCATAACAATTTATTATATTAATGTCTATTTTCTAATGATTAATAAAACATTTAATTCTAACTCATTCAACCTAATAGCCTACTCCAATAATGATGTTCAATAATGATGGAAAAAAATGTCACCATTTCTGAAACAAGCTTGCAATTAGGCAATATACACATCATGCTTATCCTTACTATATGTTAATAACTATGTTTGGCAGTAAACGAGATTAATTTATGGTGTAATTCTGAACCTCTTGGCTTGCCATAATCCTAACCGAACCAAACATATATTACACACGGTGTGTTTCCTATGCACGTAAAAACAAATTTTCGCGTATGAGTTGCACGATAAACACACTGCGTGCGAGACGCATTTAGTGTGACCGGGTTGATATACTGTATCTATGGCAACCAAACGTCACTGGTGAGACAAACGTGCAGCGAACGGACGGTCAGATTACGGTTTGGCGGGGGAAAAACTGATCAGAAAATGTAACGAAAAGTAACAGAAGTTGTAGAAATGTAGTGGAGTAGAAAGTATAATAATTGCTGCAAAATGTAACGAAGTAAAAGTAAAAAGTATGCACTATTTATTGTACTTGAGTAAAGTAAAGATACGTGAAAAATGTACTTAAGTAAAGTAACAAAGTATTTGTACTTCGTTACATTCCACCACTGGTGAACACTAAACTCACCGTTGAGCAGCGATTGCTTGACAGAAGGCAAAGGTGAACAGCACAGTGCAGATAAAGCTTAGTGGAGTTTGCAGTGAAGATGAACATCCTGAAGGAGAAACGGCTGGATGTCGAGACGCCGTTCTGCAGCAGATCCACTGTGTCGTCATCTGGATTCGGACACCTGAGAATATCAATAATCACAGAGTCTTTCAATTTTGTATTAACTGTTTCAAATGATCTCATGCTTTAGTTCTAAAATACTGAAAGACAAAGCATGTAAGGCAATCCTAAAAAGTATATGATATTATTTATTCAAACACTACATTGAGTTAAAGGAGCAATGTGTGACTTTTAGCGACATCTAGTGGTTCGGTTGCGAGTTTGCACCAGGTTTGCACTAAGGGCTCAGCCCACTGCTCACCCCTCCCTTTCGAAGAAGCTACGGTTGCTAAAACGGGACAAACATCTCGTCGGCTGAGACAGCAGAGAATAGCCAGAGTAAGCCAAGAGTGTGTAACATTGTCACTGTTTCTGTACCACAGTCCATTATAAACCACATCATGAATGTCTGTTTACAAAGCCATAGTCAGGTGAGGATCAAGGGTTTTAATATATAATTTAAAAAAATAATAATCAGCTGATTGTCTCACAAACGTAACCAGCAGCACATTTCTCCCCACATACTGTAGCAAACCCATAATACAGCGAGGGAGCAGCTATATATTTTTTCTAACAGGGTAGTAATAGTTTAGCTGGCTAATATGAGCTGTTACTGTGGCTGAGCTGGGACGCGTCCGCATGAGTCCAAAGGTCGGAAGTGCGCGCGCTGTTACAATCATGTCATCTCCGCATCCCATAGATACTATTTACTACACACAATAGGCTTTTTTTCTCTGATTTTTAAAATTCTTCGCGATCGACTTTAGTGATAAAAGACTTTAGTAAAAGTCTCTATCGACGGGTTAGTGATTCCTGTAACGTACTGTTTTTACGGTCAATGACATGAATACTAATCATCAGCTGTCTCACGAACGTAACAGCACATCTATCCCCAACATAACAAACCCATAACACAGCGAGGGAGAGCTAAGTTACATGAAACAATCCCAACTACATATTTTACACCACTCACAAGGGAAAAGTCACTACTCACGGAGTGTAAGGCTAGCTTCCAGCTTTCCGCTACTTCTCTTTCAAGGTAGTGATGAAACGCGTTCTGATGCGCTGTTTGTTCACGTTCGGCTACGGTAGGAATATGACGTCACAACATGGCGACCTTCATAGAAGGGGATTCCCTCGGTTATGGAGCTATTAATGTCTCATTCTAAGGTAATAAAAACATTACGGCTAATTAAGTAAGTTCTTTATACACCACTGAAAATATAGTTATGGATGTCATATTGCATTTCTGTTAATAGATACTCAACTTTGTTACACATTGCACCTTTAAGGCTATAGGCTTAAAAGAATAGAAAGAAGTCCTGCTTTACTCTGAAAGGATGAGGTCCCAGCGGAGGCTGTAATCGGGATCATTCACAGGTGTAGCCCAACACGTGTCCATCACCAGGGCGAACTGGCGGCTGTCGACCCCCTCAACACGAACTTCCACATGCATCTCCTGGTCGAGCTCTGCATTCACTCGACCAGTGAAGGGCCGGGTAAACTCATCATCCTCATATGGGATCATCCGGACCTGATATCTGCCTTCACCAGCGGGAAGAGTCTTGTTCACCATGCTGTCGAAATAATGGATAGATCTGTGTTAAAACCACTTTTTTTTCATGGGTAAAATTCTGCTTTAGGAGTAAACCACATATGTTCTTGGTTTAGAGAATATTAGCTTATATTTACTTTATATAAACACACACGCATTTAATATTCTGTTTTGGTGAACTACTCCTTTAATAACAGTAGTGTTGCTGAACCAGAATCTGTATTTGACTCTCACCTCCCCAGTGGATTGATTTCCACATTCATGGAAAGTGTTTGTGATTGAGGATAAGCACAGCTGAAATTAAGATGCAGGATTTTCTGTCTGCTGATGATTAGACCTTCTGATCTCGGTGTCCCCACAATAAAGTTGTTATAGATGAAGTGGGTGCCGTTAGCCTGTGGACAACAAATATAACATTTGTATTTTAGCCTAAACTGAATTCAAGGTATTTTAAAAAGGCAGCAGCGTTTGTACAACAGCAGTCTTTTCTTTGCACTAACTAAAAAAAAAAAGAAAAGTAGCTAGATTCTATTTATAAATAGAAACTTTTTTAATAACTCAACATTATGCATATCATTAAAATATACAAAGCCTAAAATGTATTAGTCACATGAGATCAAGCTGGGCTACAAATTAATGATGGAAAATGTGGGCAGAAGTTTCAATGTGTTTTCTGGCATTATGATGTGTAACCTTCCCCTCTGGATCTCTTTCAGACTTTGAGAAGTCTATAGGGAGGTTTGTTTGGGCCCTTTATTTTGTCGTTACAGATTCAGTGTCCTTACAGACCGCTCTAGACACTTCTCAAAGTCCCAAGGGGTCAGATCAAACTCTGTTGGTGCTATCAGACACTACAAATATTTAGATGGTGTATTGAATAGATTATACACAGTTAAACCCACCACAAGATTTGTTCCACAGATGTGTTCATCATTATCAAAGAGGAATTCCACTCGGCCGTTCCGGACCGTTCCTTTGCAGTCGGGATCATTGAGGTGTAAGACATCAGCTGGAAAACCAGCCTCAAAGAGCTGACAGCGAGACACAGATATGGAGCCAGAGCTGCTTTCACAGGTTTCCGAGAAATCTGAGTACAAAAAAAAAAGAGAGACAAAACATTGTCAGAATTATTTAAAAAGATAAAGGCAACTAATGACCGAAAATATAATGTTAAATGATACCAACCAAAAGAGTCAGGTTGTGGTCTGTGATGGTCTTCATTACATAAACAGCCATAAACACCATTTTTCTTCCCACACCATTCATCCTCAGAGCAGCTGAGTTCAGAACAGCGATCTCTCACATCTAAGAGGAAAAGATCGATCAAATAATTATAGCATTATAGCAAACAATTAATTATTCCCCCTTGAGTTCCACAGATTGTTCACTTTCCATCCACCTGACCATAAGAAATAAATTGCCAGACGGGGGTGGTGATATGTTTCCAAATAAAAGCAAATCCAAATAAAATATTAAAAATCATTATAAAAAATAATGGTCGTGCTGATTTTTTTAATCATAACTATTAAAACCATAGTCTATTAAGAGCTAGCTGATTTGTGAATTAATCATGTTTTTAAATTGTCATTCTTTTCTATTAATTTAGAAAATCAGTTAAACATTAAATCAAAATCAGATCAGTTTCTCACTCTAAAAACAGTAACAGTTACATAGAGGACAAAAAACAAAACAAAACTTGAATCCTGTACCCGACAACCCCACCCTGCTACTTTCTCTAAAGGTCAGCTTTCAGGTTAGTTCAGCTACCTGCATTTTTATTTACACTGGTGACAAAAATCACAAAATAATCTGTGCTGAAATGTGCTTTAGACTTACCGCACCGCAGACTGTAATATAAGAAGATACGATATAAAGACAGTTCACTTCGTGTATACAGACAGGAGCCATCTTTGAAAAACAGACTCGATAAGTCGATCCCCGAACGCCGTTCATACAGTTCCCTCATTATGCTACCGTAACCGTGTAATTGTTGGGCTATTTTGAGCCTTGTTAGTGGTATTAACCGGCGATTTTTATTTTCATTACTCTATGCCCCATATACTAGCATTATAAGCTAAACAGTTTTTAGAGATAAAACTCTTTACATTCGATTATCATGAAAACAAATCTCAGAGAATGGTTGACTATATGTACCAATGTGTTATTAGACCAATGGCTCATTTTGCGCCGAAGTTCTCCGTTAACAAAGTTTCAGTTCTTCACTTTGTCTAAAAATACATTCTGTTTACATTCATATATAGAGAGTTTGAATTGCATAATCATTTGTGAGCTGAATTGCTTTTTACTAATGTGATTTTTGAAATATTTTCTGCAGAAATTAATTTAGCTATGAATTTACTTAATGTGATTAACAGGAACATTTCAAAAGATCATGTTTAATAAAAATACATGTCTAAAAATATGCTCAAGAGAGTTTATGAAGGAAGCAAGACCCCAGACAGCAAACTGACATTGAATCAACGTGGAAACAACGTCTCTCATGACATCGAAACAACGTTGATCTGGAATTGTTTTACTTATCGAATTAACGTTGAACCAACGTCGGACGCGGCATTCTTCAAAGCTAAATGAAAATCGAAAATTGGTTTGCTTTCATAACGTTGAAACCACGTTGATTTCAAGTTAATTTTCTGTTAGTTTTGAAAGAATGACGCGTCTGACGTTGGTTCAACGTTAATTCGATGAGCAAAAAATGTCAGATGAACGTTGTTTCGATGTCATGTTTCCATGTTGATTCAATGTCAGTTTGCTATCTGGCAATACTTTACCAGTGGTTGTGATTGGTGGAGTAATGGATCCTATGGATGGGATCGTCTCTGTTGTTGATGAGATGGATTTTATATTAACAACAATCAACAATCATTTCAATTTAATTCAAACAAATTCCAGAAAAGTAAATGGCTGAGATCATATGAGTAAGTGCTCACCAACACAGTAAGCTCCACAAATCATTGGCTTGACAAACTCATAAACGTAGTAATTTCCTGGACAGGCTTTGACTCTTATAGGATGGGATGTGTAAGTACAGCAGTCACCCCATGAGGAGATGCAGACCTGACGGGTGACCACTCCATCCTCCAGCTGTGGGTGAGCGCCGTTGAGCGTCAGTGGATTATCAGTGCCACACGTGTACTGATTTACACATGATTCTGGCATCTGAGCATTTTCACCATTGTTGAACATCCTGTACCAGCCATTCCACTCCACATTATAATCACACATGCGATAGTAGTTATAGTTGTCTGTGGATCTCCAAGGCTCATCCAGACTGGTATAGTTGTAGCAGGGGTCGACACTTGGGGTGGAGAAAGACACTATTAGGGAAAAAGGAGAAAGAGTGCATTATATATTTACGATTAAATCTATTCAAATTAATAATATGAATATAATTCAATACAATTCATGATAAGCATGTCAGATATAAAGAATAATGAATATACCTGCACAATATACAGGAACTGGGATTGAAAGAGTTGGTCTGGTAAATTTGTAGACATAATAATTTCCAGGACAAGCTTTGACTTGGATTGGGTCGGATCTGTAGCGACCGCACTGATCATTACTGGAGCCGTAAACTTCACGAGTAACAACTCCATCTTCTAGTCGAGGATGAGAGCCATCAAGCCACAGAGAACTAAAACCTCCACATGACATATATTTATAACACCACTCAGGCATCTGAGCACTTGATCCATCAATGAAGAGTCGATACCAGCCGTCCCATTCTACACGAGTGTCATCATTATCAAATATGTATCCATAAGTAGACCAGTAATTGAGTGTGCTTCTCCAGTAGTTGTCGAGTGTGTTGTAGTTATTACACGGGTCATAATCTGTTAGAGTGAGAGATGATGAGACCAAAATAAACAAACACAATGCGACTGTGAAATAGTGAAAATGTTTGTGCATAAAAATTACCATCTATACTGTACTGTAAAATTGCAACTTACTCAAGTTGATGGTGGATCCAGTGAATATATCTGGACTCACAGTGGAAACCGCCTGTGAAATAGTGTTGACATCTAAAAAGAGGGAAATTCATGTCATGACAGAAACCATTTACAAAATGGTTTGAAACACTGAAATAAATGAGAAAATCACAGTACCTGTGCAGTATCCTGTACACCCAAGTTTTGGATTCACAAGTTCATAGACATAGTAATTGCCTGGACACGCTTTCACTCTAATGGGGGTTGTCATGTAATCACAGCAGCTTCCCCAATAAGACGATCCACAGATCACCCTGATCACCACTCCATCCTCTATCTGAGGGTGAGGACTAAAGAGCCTGAGATTGATGTATGTGTTACAGCTGTATGAACTAAAACAGGTCTCATACATCCGGATGTCCATTCCATTGTAGAAAAGCCGGTACCAGCCATTCCAGGAGAAACCTTCATCACAAATGTAATTTCCACTTTCATTGTTGGCTCTCCAGGGACGATCCAGAGACTCATAGTTGTAGCAGGGATCACTGCTGATGCTTTGGAAAGCAACTGTCATGGAGTTTGCAAAAGTACTGTTAAAATTTATTACATCCAAAAGAGCATAAGAGTTTTATACCGTAAGGCCAGTTATGATGGTTAATTACATTTTGAGCAATTATATTCTAACCAGTGGTGTACTGTCTGTCAGGATAAAGTGGGGCAAGTCTGTCTGACAGAACCCTGTAGAACGGGACAGAGCAACACCTGAGGAGGAGCTACATATGACAAGAGGACTGTGGAGTAATATCACAATGTTTTCATATACATTTTTAGTTTAAATATTAACTATTGAACAAATCAGCTAAAGTGTGATTTGAGAAATTGTGTAACAAAGAGATCTAGATGCTATTGATTAGTAACATAACTATACAGAATGGCTAATGAACTGCACACCACTGATTCTAAAACATACTTATTTCATAATACAAAAGATGTGTGTTAAATTATCTAATAGTTAGAGCATTTACACTTTATCATGACATAGAAAAATCCAAAAGATAAGATTAAAAATTGTACCTGCACAGTACATAGGCTGGGGGGCTGATATGACGGGTTTGACAAACTCATAGACGTAATAATCTCCTGGACAGGCTTTGACTAGGATGGATGAGGAACTGTAGGAGCCACAATAATTGTATGACTCCCCCCAATAACACCAATAATTTCCCACGACTCCACGGGTCACCACTCCATCCTCAAGTGTTGGATGAGAACCGCTGAGAGACAGTGCAGTTTGTCCACCACATCCCACAAAACTCACACCCCACTCAGACATCTGGGCACTTTCTCCATTCAGATACAGCCGATACCAGCCGCTCCATTCAACAAGAGTGTCATCAAATCCATAGTTCTGAAATGGGCTTTGCCGTATGTCTCTCCAGGATTCATCAACAATGATATAGTCATAGCATGGATCAGTTGTGGGTTCTGAGAGAAAAAAAAAAAAAAAGACTCATTCACTGAGGTGACAAACACAAGAGTTCAGGTAAACATCTAACATCCGTGTCTGTATGAAAGAGGAGATATTGGCATGGTGAAATGAGGATGAATTAAAAACTCACACCAAGTGTTTCCTTTAAATCCATATGGATTTTTTCGTAGGATTGTTGCATTATTCCAAATAAATAGTTTATGATCCACAAATAAATGTAAAGAGATTCACAAAAATATATCAAATTCACAAATAAATAAAATGAGATTTGCAAATAAAACGTCTCGGGTTATGACTATAACCCTTGTTCCCTGAGAAGGTAACAAGACACTGTGTCGAGAATAGACACTTTGGGGACACTCCTTTAGTGTGCACCTCTGAAGTATGAATGAAAATAATCCAATCTTGATTGGTGCTGAGTCATGACATAAGCATAAAAGCAACGCTGGCACAACACATACCAGCTTCGTGATAAAGCAAGACGCTCTAAGGCCTCGAGGGGCATGGCTGAACAACGCAGTGTCTTATTCCCTTCTCAGGGAACAAGGGTTAGTCATAACCCGAGACATTCCCTTTCGAGGGAACTCAACACTGCGCTGAGAATCGACACTTTGGGGAACGAATGCCCACACTAGGCCACGCACCAAATAGGCCTGTCCCAGAGTGAAACTGATATAGGCACTCAGCTAGGACGAAAGCATGTGTGCGCCAGGCGTACTAGGGAGGTGCAGACTATAGAATCTGATGAAAGTGTGAGGAGAAGCCCACCCGGCTGCCTCACAGATCTCATGAATGGGGACTCCTACATGAAGGTCCCAAGAGAATGCTATACCTCTGGTAGAGTGAGCCAAGGGGGAAGGTAAATCATGCACCCCATAGGGTAACGTAATAGCCTGAACTATCCAATTGCTAATAGTCTGCTTCGAAGCAGGTAGCCCCTTCCTAGGTGATCCAAAACACACTAGAAGTTGGTCCGACCTCTTAAGGTAAACTTCTAAATCTCTGACAGGACAAAGCAAATGGAGCTTTAAGAGTTTACCTTGAGAGGTCCTCTTCCAGGAAGAGGAAAGAGCTTTCCTCTTCTGCCGACACATGTTGTGGAGGATGAAAAGCTTGAAGAACTGTAGACTGAGCCACATTAGAGAGCACCTTCGGCACGTAACCAGACTTAGGGTGTAAAATGGCCTTTACTCCGCCAGGGGCAAACTCCAAACAGGCTGGTGTCACTGCCCATGCTTGGAGATCTCCTACTCTTTTAATAGAGGTAATAGCTGAGAGAAAAAACGTTTTAAAAGTCAATACCTTCGGTGAAGCCGACTGAAGTGGTTCAAAGGGGGCCAGGGATAACCCTTCGAGGACCACTGCAGGAACAGTGGTCAGGACACCCAGGCAGGAACCCTGGACCCAGCTGTCGGTCTCATTCTCCAAGTACCACGGAGAACCCGTATGAGCAGCCGATGCCTCCCCCCAAAGGCCCATTGTTTAAAGGTGCATGGAAAGCCGCAATGGCAGCCACGTATACTTTTAAAGTGGAAGGGGAGAGACCCGCCGAGAAGCGGTCTTGAAGAAATTCCAGAACTGAAGCTACCTGGCAGTTGACTGGATCTACATCATGTTCTCGACACCAATTAGAGAACACATTCCACTTAAGGCCATACAATCTCCTGGTGGATGGAGCCCTAAAGCTACGCATGGTTTCAACTACTCCTACTGATAATCCAGCTTCTAAGTACTGAGCCCCCTCAGGGGCAGACCCATAGCTTCCACAGCTACAGGCGATGGGGGAATATTGTGCCCTCCGCTTGAGACAAAATATCCCTCCTTCGAGGAATCTGCCACGGTTGATCTATCAGGAGTGACACTAAGTCTGAGAACCATACTCGAGCCGGCCAGAACGGGGCTATCAGAAGAAGATTGATGCCCTCCTGACGGACCCTCTCCAGGACTCCCGGAAGCAGAGCGATTGGGGGAAAAGCGTGGAGGCGAAGCCTTGGCCAAGGCTGTACCATGGCATCCAACCCCAGTGGGGCTGGATGTGAAAGGGAGAACCAAAGTGGCCAGTGGGACATCTCTCGAGACACAAATAGATCCACTTCCATTGGTCCAAACCTCTCCCATATCAACTTCACCACATCTGGATGAAGTCACCATTCCCCGGGCCCCAGCTCCTGCCTCGACAGGATGTCTGCTCCCTGATTCTGAACCCCCGGCATATATATTGCTCTGATGGATTATATTTTCCCTTGAGACAATAAAATTATATGATGTGTCAGTCTGGACAGAAGGCACAATCTGAGTCCCCCCTGTCGGTTCAGATAGGCCACCACTGATGTATTATCCGAACGTATCAAGACATGATGACCCTTGATGTCTGGAAGGAAGCTCCTCAAAGCCCTGAACACAGCTAACATCTCTAGGCAATTTATATGCCAAGAACGATAATGGGTCCTGCCACAGACCCCTGGCAAAGCGGCCGTCCATGACCGCGCCCCAACCAGTAAGGGAGGCATCTGTCGATACGGTTTTTCGGCGACATGATGCTCCTAACACTGGTCCTTGGGACAGTATCCAAGGTTTCTTCCAAATTACTAGGGAACAAAGGCATCTGCGTGTATCCCTGACTATACGGAACAGATTTCCCCTCTGGGAAAACCCCTTGACTTTTAGCCACCACTGAAGGGACCTCAAGGGAGAGGAGGAGGCCAACAAGGGAGAGGAGCAGGCCAACAAGGGAGAGGAGAAGGCCAACAAGGGAGATGAGGAGGCCAACAAGGGAGAGGAGAAGGCCAACAAGGGAGAGGAGAAGGTCAACAAGAGAGAGGAGAAGGCCAACAAGGGAGAGGAGAAGGCCAACAAGGGAGAGGAGAAGACCAACAAGGGAGAGGAGGAGGTCAACAAGGGAGAGGAGCAGGCCAACAAGGGAGAGGAGCAGGCCAACAAGGGAGAGGAGAAGGCCAACAAGGGAGAGGAGAAGGCCAACAAGGGAGAGGAGAGGGCCAACAAGGGAGAGGAGAGGGCCAACAAGGGAGATGAGAAGGCCAACAAGGGAGAGGAGAAGGCCAACAAGGGAGAGGAGGAGGTCAACAAGGGAGAGGAGCAGGCCAACAAGGGAGAGGAGGAGGTCAACAAGGGAGAGGAGGAGGCCAACAAGGGAGAGGAGGAGGTCAACAAGGGAGAGGAGGAGGCCAACAAGGGAGAGGAGAAGGCCAACAAGGGAGAGGAGAAGGCCAACAAGGGAGAGGAGGAGGTCAACAAGGGAGAGGAGGAGGCCAACAAGGGAGAGGAGGAGGTCAACAAGGGAGAGGAGAAGGCCAACAAGGGAGAGGAGGAGGTCAACAAGGGAGAGGAGGAGGCCAACAAGGGAGAGGAGGAGGTCAACAAGGGAGAGGAGGAGGTCAACAAGGGAGAGGAGGAGGTCAACAAGGGAGAGGAGGAGGTCAACAAGGGAGAGGAGAGGGCCAACAAGGGAGATGAGAAGGCCAACAAGGGAGAGGAGAAGGCCAACAAGGGAGAGGAGGAGGTCAACAAGGGAGAGGAGCAGGCCAACAAGGGAGAGGAGGAGGTCAACAAGGGAGAGGGGGAGGTCAACAAGGGAGAGGAGCAGGCCAACAAGGGAGAGGAGAAGGCCAACAAGGGAGAGGGGGAGGTCAACAAGGGAGAGGAGCAGGCCAACAAGGGAGAGGAGAAGAGATAAAGTCATTGCTGATAATGTCAACTTTGAGAGTATTGATGTCAGCTTGGCCACAACAGACAAGAGTTCTCCGGCGCCAAAAGATGCGGATGAAACAGGTCTATAGGGTTCCCTTTGAGTGGAACTCTGCGCGACCTAAAGACCTACGTTACGAGTATGTGCAAGTAAGTATGCATCCATGTTCACAGTACAGTTAGTGGACATACTGTGTTGCTCAGTAGCCTACATTACTTCTGGACAATACTGTGCTACCTGATGTGACTGTTGTTCTGAACACGTGTGCACTTTCACATTTTCATTACAGTTGGGCGCGATGGCCAGACCTCATGAGAACCTCTTCCTGGATGAGGCTGACTTTAAATGGTGAAAACGTGGAGGTATTTGATCGCTTCTCTTCTTGGCCCGTATTGAATGAACTGGGCTAGTTAAGTGCGATCAAAGCGACTCGCGCACCGTGCACGCACTGAGACGAGAGAGGTATGCATCAACTCGTCTTAGTTAAGGGAATAACATAGTTTACTATGAAAAGCCAGTGGAGTATCCCTTTAAGAGAACGTTCTATTTACATTAAGAAAACTTTCCTGGATCACTATCCCATCATAACATTTGCAATCTCTGTGTGATGAAAATAATTTAGAAGAATTTGTTAGGCCATTTAGGCAATTTTATTATCAGTCATATTAAATTGAGGCCACCGGAAATCAAAGCTGTGCAAATATATCTCATAATACAGGAGCTATATTTGCTCAGTTTTAATTTCCTGTGGCCTCAATTTAATGACTGATAATATAATTGCCTAAATGGCCTAGTCAATTATTTCAAATTATTTACATGCATCACAAACTTATAACATGGATCTGATTTGCTCATGCCAAACAATAATCCTCCAGATTTTCGCTTAATATATTATATTACCCGTTGTATTGTCCATAGTTGTAGTTTCAGTTGTTGTAGTTTCGGTTGTGGTTGTCTCTGGCATGACAGTGGTAGTAGTGTTTATGTTGCTTGAATCTGAAATGAATTATAAATATTAGATTCAAATAAACAATTATTATCTCTTTCATAAACGAAGGGCACATGTAAATTTATTTACCAGCACAGTATGACAAATGGCAGGCAGTTGGCCTCACAAACTCATAGACATAATAATCTCCTGGACAGGCTTTGACTTTAATGGGATTGGATTGGAAATAGCAGCAGTTATTGCTCCAGTGACCGCAGACATCTCGAGTGACCACTCCATCCTCAACTGTTGGATGTCCTCCGTTCAGCCACAGAGGAGCATGAGTGCCACAACTATACTCATCAACACATGTGTCCGGCATCTGAACGCTCTGACCCTGAATGAAGAGACGGTACCAGCCGTTCCAGCTGACCGCAGTGTCACACATTATCTGAGAGGAATGTTGATTGTTGGTGGCTCTCCATGAATCATCCAGGATAGTGTAGTTGTAGCAGGGGTCAACAGGGGGAGCTGTTGTCAAGGAAATATTAAAAATATATATTTTGAGGAATGAATAAATAAATGTTTTTTTGATGTGTATTTTTTTTTTGTAATGGTTAAGTCATTAAACAGTTTACACTGTTTACTTAAGCTCACTGTTTCATTTGCATTTTAAGTTGAGTCTGTAGACAATTTGTCGAAAGCTTTCAGAACATCTCTCATCTAGCTGACAAAACGAGATAAAAACAGCCAAATTTGAGTCCCTTTGAGTCTACACACTGTTGATTGAAAACGATAATTTTGTTTGTTCTTTCAAAATTAAAACGTCTTAATTTTAGAACTGAACGTGCCCCCATTAAAAAAGATTTTTTCAAGTGACATTATACAATTACATTATATTATTATTACATTATAGCAAAGAACAACAATATACTATGAAACTGTATGAATGAATAAAGGATATATATATATATATATATATATATATATATATATATATATATATATGATAGCCTTTTATACATTCATACAGTTTTATAGTATATTGTTGTTCTTTGTATCAATATCATTTACTATGTTTTTTTTGGTTATTTTAGACGAATATAATCCAGATATAATAATATATAAATATCTGTCTGTAAATGCAGTAATTTCCCTCTTTCTAATGGTAGGTGTATGCAGACAGGGGTTATGAACTGAGTTTGAGAAACACTGGTGGTTTGGATTTCAGTGTTAACAAAGTTTTAGTTCTTCACTTTGTCTAAAAATACCTTCTGTTTACATTCAAATATAGAGAGTTTGAATTGCATAATCATTTGTGAGCTGAATTGCTTTTCACTAATATGATTTTTGTAAATATTTTCTGCAGAAATTAATTTAGCTATGAATTTACTTAATGTGATTAACAGGAACATTTCAAGAGATCATGTTTAATAAAAATACATGTCCAAAAAGATGCTCAAGAGAGTTTATGAAGGAAGCAAGACAATATTTACCAGTGGTTGTGATTGGTGGAGTAATGGATCCTATGGATGGGATCGTCTCTGATGTTGGTAAGATGGACTGGTTTGGGGCATCTGGTATTAGGAACATTTTATATTAACAATAATTTAATTTTAATTCAAACAAAATCCATGTAAGTAAATGGCTGAAGATCACATGAGTAAGTGCTCACCAACACAGTAAGCTCCACAAACCATTGGCTTGACAAACTCATAAACGTAGTAATTTCCTGGACAGGCTTTGACTCTTATAGGATGGGATGTGTAAGAACAGCAGCCACTCCATGAGGAGACACAGACCTGACGGGTGACCACTCCATCCTCCAGCTGTGGGTGAGCGCCGTTGAGTGACAGTGGATTATCAGTGCCACACATGTACTGATTTACACATGATTCTGGCATCTGAGCATTTTCACCATTGTTGAACATCCTGTACCAGCCATTCCACTCCACATTATAATCACACATGCCATAGTTGTAATAGTTATTATAGTAATAGTTGTCAGTGGATCTCCAAGGCTCATCCAGACTGGTATAGTTGTAGCAGGGGTCGACACTTGGGGTGGAGAAAGGCACTATTAGGGAAAAAGGAGAAAGAGAGCATTATATATTTCCGATTAAATATATTCAAATTAATAATATGAATATAAATCAATACAATTCATGACAAACATGTCAGATATAAAGATGAATGAATATACCTGCACAATATACAGGAGCTGGGATTGAAAGAGTTGGTCTGGTAAATTTGTAGACATAATAATTTCCAGGACAAGCTTTGACTTGGATTGGGTCGGATCTGTAGCGACTGCACTGTTCATAACGGGAGCCGTAAACTTCACGAGTAACAACTCCATCTTCTAGTCGAGGATGAGAGTCACCAAGATACAGAGAACTATAACCTCCACATGACATGTAATAAAAACACCACTCAGGCATCTGAGCACTTGATCCATCAATGAAGAGTCGATACCAGCCGTCCCATTCTACACGAGTGTCATCATGATCAATTATGTGTCCATATATATACCCGTAATTGAGTGTGCTTCTCCAGTAGTTGTCGAGTGTGTTGTAGTTATTACACGGGTCATAATCTGTTAGAGTGAGAGATGATGAGACCAAAACAAACAAACACAATGCGACTGTGAAATAGTGGAAATGTTTGTGCATAAAAATGACCATCTATACTGTACTGTAAAATTGCAACTTACTCAAGTTGATGGTGGATCCAGTGAATATATCTGGACTCACAGTGGAAACCGCCTTTGAAATAGTGCTGACATCTAAAAAGAAGGAAATTCATGACATGACAGAAACCATTTACAAAATGGTATGAAATACTGAAATAAATGAGAAAATCACAGTACCTGTGCAGTATCCTGAACACCATATTTGTGGATTCACAAGTTCATAGACATAGTAATTGCCTGGACACGCTTTCACTCTGATGGGGGTTGTCAGGTAATCACAGCAGCTTCCCCAATAATACCCTGCACAAACCTCCCTGATCACCACTCCATCCTCTATCTGAGGGTGAGGACCACTGAGCCTCAGATTAAATTTTGTGTTACAGGCGAATGTACTAATACAGGTCTCATACATCCGGATGTCCATTCCATAGTAGAAAAACCGGTACCAGCCATTCCAGGAGAAACCTTCATCACAAATGCTATCTCCACTTTCATTGTTGGCTCTCCAGGGACGATCCAGAGACTCATAGTTGTAGCAGGGATCACTGCTGATGCTTTGGAAAGTAACTGTTATGGAGTTTGCAAAAGTACTGTTAAAATGAATTACATCCTAAAGAGCATAAGAGTTTTATACCGTAAGACCAGTTATGATGGTTAATTACATAATTTTGAGCAATTATATTGTAACCAGTGGTGTACTGTCTGTCAGGCTAAAGTGAGGCAAGTCTGTCTGACTGTAGAACGGGACAGAGCAACACCTGAGGAGGGGCTACATATCACAATGTTTTCAAATACATTTTTAGTTTAAATATTAGTTAGTGAACAAATTGCCTAAAGCAGTGGTTCTCAACCGGTGGGCCGCGACACACTCTCTATGGGTTGGGGGCACGAGTAGGCTACAGAACGAACGTCCGATTCATCAAGAATGAGAAAGATGTTTGTGAATGGGTCATTGAATCTTTGACTCAGCCGATTCGCTCAAAACACTGAATCAACACGTTTGACTGGTGCTGTGAGATGTGCTAGGCTGTGATCTTTGTTTGGATTCATCAGATATATTTTCGCTGCTAAAATATACCAAAACAGTTTTTATTTAGTCTAAAATGTAAGTGAATTAATATTATTAACTTGTTTGTTGAACTGTCATTAGTGTCACGTTTTCAATCGTGAGGTGATGGTCATTAAGTGATGGTCGTTAGGTGGTCATGTGATGTATGTTGTTGGTTGCTCAAGTGTAGGCCTATTCATTTAACTGCAGTATGTCGATTTAATTTATTCATGTGTGCTGCGCTCATAGACTTTAGAAAACGGCACTCATTTGTTTGATTTCTCATCAAAAAGCTGCGCAAGCCTCAAAAGTTTAAGGTCCTTTCACCCAGAGTGAGTCTGAAACTGTCATATTCGGGGTTTTTTTGTTTGTTTTTCATATTCGTCATTTTGTGCGCTTTAATCCATTGTGGAGACTCTATATTCGTTTCATTGAAATCACAAAGTAAAATCCACACAAACATATAACTGACAAACATAATCGGTTTTAATCAGAGGGAAAAGTTCTGGCAAACTTGGCAAAAGTTCTGCCACTGGACTATTGAAATGCTTGCATGTAATTGTCCTACACTATCTCACGACCAATTCGTACAAATTCGTACGAGTGATTAAAAAGTGGCTAATTCGTACGACCTCACTCGTACGAATTCATACGATTTGTCTAAACCCACGTGACGGTTAGGTTTAGGGGCGGGGTCAGGGGTAGGTCATTCGTACGAATTCATACGAATTGGCAAATTCATCAAATATGTACGATTTAGCAAAATCGTACTAATTTGTACGAGTGAGGTCGTATGAATTGTTACGAATTAGCCACCTCGTAAAATTCGTACGAATTCCCGTGAGATCGGGTTGAATTGTCGGATCTCGCTATTAAACGAAAAATTAAACACAATGTATTATTTTAATCGATTGCTGGACATCGATATGTTATTGTACATAGGTGTACATCTGATTTATGATTTATGCATAATGTATTAGCATAATGATTATAATTAGCATAATGATTTAGCATTGTACTATTAGCGATTTGAAACAAACACATTTTTCGCGCTGCCTGTGAATGTCCTGAATGTGATTCGCAGAAAAACAGGCGCCACTATAATGCGCATGCACAGACCGTGCGCTAGAATACAGTTCTCTTTCGCGCTGGATTATGCCAAAATGTCGTTTGTTGAGTATTTTCATAACATAAGTTCAGTCTTATGAAGGACAAAAAGAGTCGTGACTCGTGTGAGATCTGCGTCTCAGCTAGCAGCTGATTTTAAAGGGCCAGCTGCCAATAAAGCGTTCTGTCAGTAAAGTTAATCAATGAACAAAGGGAACAGAGAAAATTACTAACTGCTCTTGAACTTGTGTAGCTTTAATAAGGATTAGTCTATAAATAATTTATAATTTATGCAGTGCAGACTGTTTGATAACTTTATTCAATTTCTGTATGTGTCCTACCTTACAGTTAATTTTTTATCCAGACATCAATTATTGATCATTATAGGTGTTATCAATAATTTAGTTGTTATTGCTAACTTCAGAATTATTTGAGGCTATGTTTATCAAACATTGAGCCAAGAATTGAGGATCTTTGCAAGGCAAATCAGGCTCAGGTCTCACATTAACATCACCTACCTGCAAGCTTCTGTAAAAAAAAATGCAGATGGTGCCTACTATCATAATAACAATAATAAAGCATACATTAAGATCAGAGGTCTGGTGCCTATTTCCAATTATAGCAATAATGATAATAGGCCTACTGATGATGATAATAATAATAATAAACAACAAAACTAAAGCATGTAACCACATATAATTATATATAATAGCCTAGAAATGATGATAGGCCTATACTCCTCATAATATTAATAATAAAATTAATTATTGGGGCGAGTTTGGCACTGGGGCACCAACTGCAATGAACCAGCTTTGGGGGGGCCCAGCTTGCAAAAGGTTGAGAACCTCTGGCCTAAAGTGTGATTTGAGGAATTGTGTGACTAAGAGATCTAGATGCTATTGATCTGTAACATAACCAACTATACAGAATGGATAATGAACTGCACACCACTGATTCTAAAACATACTTATTTCATAATACAAAAGATGCATGTTAAATTATCTAATAGTTAGAGCATTTTCACTTTATCGTGACATAAGAAATCCAAAAGATAAGATTGAATATTGTACCTGCACAGTACATAGGCTGGGGGGATGATATGATGGGTTTGACAAACTCATAGACGTAATAATCTCCTGGACAGGCTTTGACTCGGATGGATGAGGAACTGTAGACGCCACAATAACTGTAATACTCCCCCCAATACCAAAATGCATTAGTTCCCACGACATCACGGGTCACCACTCCATCCTCAAGTGTTGGATGAGAACCGCTGATATACAGTGCAGTTTGACCTCCACATCCCACATAACTCACACACCACTCAGACATCTGGGCACTTTCTCCATTCAGATACAGCCGATACCAGCCGCTCCATTCAACAAGAGTGTCATCATATTCATAGTACTGAAATGGGCTTTGCCGTATGTCTCTCCAGGATTCATCAAGAGTGTTATAATCATAGCATGGATCAGTTGTTGGTTCTGAGAGAAAAAAGAGAAAATATGCATTCACTGAGGTGACAAACACAAGAGTTCAGGTAAACATCTAACATCTGCATGAAAGAGGAGATATTGGGATGGTGAAATGAGGATGAATTAAATACTTAACTTACAACAAGCATTTCCTTTAAATCCCTCTCTCACTAATTTAAAAAGAACTGACCCTTGATCTCAATTGAGTTTTTTTTAGTAACAGTATTTATATTTGCTTTCACCACATAGACGTGACAATGGTATTCTTTGTTTTGGAACTTTGATGATAAATATGACATAAAAATATTATTTTCCTATTGAAATAAAAACTTAAAAAGGAAACAACATTCAAGATCCTCCTCAGATAATTAAAGAGTGTCATGCTGTACTGTACGGATAATTAAAAATAAACAAATTAATAAACAGTACAAATCTATAGTGGAACCATTGTTCTGAGGTTCTGTTGGTTCAGACGTTTATTGATGTTACGTCAGCATCGAAGACATAGATATCATATAGAGACTAGATGCCCTATTGGCCGCTGAGCCCTGAGAAATCCGGCCCGATCATATTCCTATTCACCTTTGGCTAAGCCCCGCCCCCCTTAGTTACTGTTGCTACATCCGTCAAACTTCATCTGCGCTCTGCATGGCTTATGCTGTAACAGCTCTTCCTGCTGAAATGTTATCAAAGTTTTATAAAGCAGCAAATAAAGTGTCCGATAGAAGTAGGAAAAAGGGGCTGCAATATTTGTTCGAAGGCTATATTCAAGACATACAGGTGAAACGCAAGAAACAACAAGGCATCAAAAAAGGGGCAAAGCATAACGTTACCGGTCACAGTCAAAAAAAGAACCACCGCATTTCCTACTAATGGAGACGGAGGCTGGGACTAACAATATCAGGATCAGGGAGCAACATTGTTCATGCAAAGCTGGGTAGGTCTCTATTCACTTCTATAATCGTTATTACAAAGCAAACGGACTACACGAGTATAACGTTGTATTTATTAACCGGTATGAGAACTGAAATGATAACCTAACAAAACGGTCTAACTAGTATAACTTCACAGTAAGGTTAGAAGCAAAAAAGATGTGCTTGTTGATCTTTGAGGGGTTTAGCTGACTGAGGACGTCCATACAGTTTAATCCAAACACGACACTTGTCAGGATTTGACTTCGGTTTTGGGAAGGAAAAAAACGGACAGCCCCCTCCAACCTCTCTGGGAAACGCAAATCTGTGTTACAAATGCACCAGGCACCATATTTTTGATAAAACTACGACAGTAATAGCCTGCAGAGTCGTCTATGTTGAAAGTCAATGGAGCGCTGTGAAAAAGTGTCGGAGCTCGTTCTTGGCTGCGCTGTGATTGGTCAATCTACATTCTAGGGCGTGGCTTAGCCAAAGGTGAATTGTGTTGCATAGCAGTGGTAGATGCCAGATCACTGTGCAGCATATTCCTGCTCAAATCGGTGGACTATCGCTGGGGAATTACTTTTCACAAGTAAGATTTAAAATGACCTGACTAATGTTTGTATTTTTTAATAAAATAACCCATGTGTCCTGTATCATAGCCACATAAGTGAGGCCACAGTATATCAAAGCTGTGGAAATTTAGGTCATAATACAGGAGCTATATTTGCTCAGTTTTAATTTCCTGTGGCCTCAATTTAATGACTGATAATATAATTGCCTAAATGGCCTAGTCAATTATTTCAAATTATTTACATGCATCACAAACTTATAACATGGATCTGATTTGCTCATGCCAAACAATAATCCTCCAGATTTTCGCTTAATATATTATATTACCCGTTGTATTGTCCATAGTTGTAGTTTCAGTTGTTGTAGTTTCGGTTGTGGTTGTCTCTGGCATGACAGTGGTAGTAGTGTTTATGGTGCTTGAATCTGAAATGAATTATAAATATTAGATTCAAATAAACAATTATTATCTCGTTCATAAACGAAGGGTACATATTTACCAGCACAGTATGCCAAATGGCAGGTAGTTGGGCTCACAAACTCATAGACATAATAATCTCCTGGACAGGCTTTGACTTTAATGGGATTGGACTGGAAATAGCAGCAGTTATTGCTCCAGTGACCGCAGACATCTCGAGTGACCACTCCATCCTCAACTGTTGGATGTCCTCCGTTCAGCCACAGAGGAGCATGAGTGCCACAACTATACTCTTCAACACATGTGTCCGGCATCTGAACGCTCTGACCCTGAATGAAGAGACGGTACCAGCCGTTCCAGCTGACCCAAGCGTCACACATTATCTGAGAGGAATGTTGATTGTTGGTGGCTCTCCATGAATCATCCAGGATAGTGTAGTTGTAGCAGGGGTCAACAGGGGGAGCTGTTGTCATGGAGAAATAAAAAAAATACATATTTTGAGGAATGAATACAGAAATGTTTTTTGATGTGTATGTTTTTAAGTGGTTATGTTATGAAACAGTTTACACTGTTTTACACTGTTTTTTGCCATACTGCATATATTTTATTCACGCTGATAGGCAGCCTGGATTCCATGGACCAAATTTTCGCTTCAGCGAGGGGACCAATCACAGAATGGGGAGGGAGCAGCAAGATGATGACTACATCTATGCGACACACCGAAGCAGTTCTTCCTCTTCTAATTTATTTCACTCTGGATAGGTCATCTGGTGTAATTGAAACGATTGGCTATGAGCTACGTACAGGCGCATTTGACAGAAATTCATGGCACCCAAGAAACGGCTCTGGCCATTCGTAAACCACGCCTCAAATACGAGAAAACGAACATGTGGTTCCCAGACCATGTTTCAATGTCAATGAGATGTGGTCTGACATTAGCCAGGCTAATTGAGCACAAGTATTACAAGCAAATTGACTTCAAGAAGTCAGTGCTTTCAAAACACTCTTTGCCACTTACATGCAAACACATTCTTACGTGTTGGTGGTGGTCTGCACATATTGTTGATTGAAAATTATAATTTTGTTTGTTCTTTCAACTTAACAATGTCATAATTTTAGAACTGACGCTGCCCCCATTAAAAAAGTTTTTTCAGGGGGTCCAAAAATCTCACCAAATACCATAGTAAGTGACATTAAGGCAAAAAACAACAATATACAATGAAACTGTATGAATAAATAAAAGCATATCAAATTACACTCTGATTCTTATATATATTAGGATAGCATCTTGCAGTTGATGGAGATTTGTGGGATGCACATCCAGGGCACGAAGCTCCCGTTCCACCACATCCCAAAGATGCTCTATTGGGTTGAGATCTGGTGACTGTGGCGGCCATTTTAGTACAGTCAACTCATTGTCATGTTCAAGAAACCAATTTGAAATGATTCCAGCTTTGTGACATGGTGCATTATCCTGCTGGAAGTAGCCATCAGAGGATGGCGACATGGTGGCCATAAAGGGATGGAAATAGTCAGAAACAATGCTCAGGTAGGCCGTGGCATTTAAACGATGCCCAATTGGCACTAAGGGGCCTAAAGTGTGCCAAGAAAACATCCCTCACACCATTACACCACCACCACCAGCCTGCACAGTGGTAACAAGGCATGATAGATCCATGTTCTCATTCTGTTTACGCCAAATTCTGACTCTACCATCTGAATGTCTCAACAGAAATCGAGACTCATCAGACCAGGCAACATTTTTCCAGTCTTCAACTGTACAATTTTGGTGAGCTCTTGCAAATTGTCGCCTCTTTTTCCTATTTGTAGTGGAGATGAGTGGTACCCGGTGGGGTCTTCTGCTGTTGTAGCACATCTGCCTCAAGGTTGTGCGTGTTGTGGAGTTCCCCAGGAGTTCCCCAGGGTTCTGTTCTTGGACCGCTCCTCTTCTCCATTTACACCACATCACTGGGACCCATCATACAGGCACATGGTTTCTCTTACCATTGCTATGCCGATGACACCCAGCTCTACCTCTCATTTCAACCAGATGGTCCCACAGTACCTGCACGAATCTCAAGCTGTCTAGCTGATATCTCGGCATGGATGAAGGAACATCACCTGCAGCTCAACCTGGCTAAGACTGAGCTTCTCGTGCTCCCGGCCAATCCGTCTCTACAGCACGACTTCACTATCCAGCTAGATTCTTCCTCAATCACCCCATCAAGGTCAGTCAGAAATCTTGGAGTAACCTTTGATGATCGGACGACCTTCACAGACCACATTTCAAAGACAGTTAGATCATGCAGGTTTGCTATGCACAACATCAGGAAGATCAGGCCTTTCCTAACTGAGCGTGCAACACAACTTCTCGTTCAGGCCCTAGTCATCTCTAGGCTAGATTACTGCAATGCTCTTCTGGCTGGACTTCCATCATGTGCAACCAAACCTCTACAAATCATCCAGAATACTGCAGCTCGTCTGGTCTTCAACTAGTCACTCCTCTGTTCATCTCCCTGCACTGGCTGCCACTCGCTGCTCGTATCAAGTTCAAAGCGTTGACACTTGCGTACAGATTGACCACTGGCTCAGCTACCTCCTACTTCCACTCACTACTACAAGTCTACATCCCTAGCAGAAGCCTACGATCAGTCAATGAGCGACGGCTCGTGGTACCATCGCAGAGAGCCTCAAAATCACTTTCCAGAACATTCTCATTCACGGTACCATGCTGGTGGAATGATCTGCCCACCCTCATCTGGAATGCAGAATCCCTGTCAGCATTTAAAAGACAACTGAAAACTCTTCTCTTCCATGAGCACTTAACATAAAAAAAATCCTTTTCTTTTAAATCCCTGCTTATCTGGCTTATGCTACCCTGTGCAATGTCTGAACTTTGTATTTTGAGCACTTGCGTTGTTTTTGCCTCTTCACGATGACTCGCTTGGTTTAGTCCTCAGTTGTAAGTCGCTTTGGATAAAAGCGTCTGCTAAATGACTAAATGTAAAATGTAATGTAAATATATATATATATATATATATGATAGCCTTTTAGACATTGATACAGTTTTATAGTATATTGTTTTTTCAGTTATTTTAGACAGATATAATCCAGATATAATAATCTATAAATATCTGTCTGTAAATGCAGTAATTTCCCTCTTTCTAATGGTAGGTGTATGCAGACAGGGGTTATGAACTGAGTTTGAGAAACACTTGGTGGTTTACATTTCACTTTTAACAAAGTTTCAGTTCTTCACTTTGTCTAAAAATACCTTCTGTTTACATTCAAATATAGAGAGTTTGAATTGCATAATCATTTGTGAGCTGAATTGCTTTTTACTAATGTGATTTTTGTAAATATTTTCTGCAGAAATTAATTTAGCTATGAATTTACTTAATGTGATTAACAGGAACATTTTAAGAGATCATGTTTAATAAAAATACATGTCCAAAAAGATGCTCAAGAGAGTTTATGAAGGAAACAAGACAATACTTTACCAGTGGTTGTGATTGGTGGAGTAATGGATCCTATGGATGGGATCGTCTCTGTTGTTGATGAGATGGACTGGTTTGAGGAATCTGGTATTAAGAACATTTTATATTAACAACAATCATTTAAATTTAATTCAAACAAAATCCATATAAGTAAATGGCTGAAGATCATATGAGTAAGTGCTCACCAACACAGTAAGCTCCACAAAACATTGGCTTGACAAACTCATAAACGTAGTAATTTCCTGGACAGGCTTTGACTCTTATAGGATGAGATGTGTAAGTACAGAGGCCATCCCATGAGGAGATGCAGACCTGACGGGTGACCACTCCATCCTCCAGCTGTGGGTGCGAGCCGTTGAGCGTCAGTGGATTATAAGTGCCACACATGCCTTGATTTATAAATGATTCTGACATCTGAGTATTTTGTCCATTGTAGAACATCCTGTACCAGCCATTCCACTCCACATTATAATCACACATGCCGTAGCTGTAATAGTTGTCTGTGGATCTCCAAGGCTCATCCAGACTGGTATAGTTGTAGCAGGGGTCGACACTTCGGGTGGAGAAAGACACTAGTACGGAACAAATAGAAAGACAGTATTATATATTGCAAATTAAATATATTAATAATATGAATATAAACCAATACAATCCATGACAAGCATGTCAGATATAAAGATGAATGAATGTACCTGCACAATATACAGGAGCTGGGATTGAAAGAGTTGGTCTGGTAAATTTGTAGACATAATAATTTCCAGGACAAGCTTTGACTTGGATTGGGTCGGATCTGTAGCGACTGCACTGATCATAGTGAGTACCGTAAACTTCACGAGTAACAACTCCATCTTCTAGCCGAGGATGAGAGTTACCAAGCCAGAGAGAAATAAAACCTCCACATGACATGTAATAAAAACACCACTCAGGCATCTGAGCACTTGATCCATTAATGAAGAGTCGATACCAGCCGTCCCATTCTACACGAGTGTCATCATGATCGGATATGTATCCATAACTGGACCAGTGATTGAGTGTGCTTCTCCAGTAGTTGTCAAGTGTGTTGTAGTTATTACACGGGTCATAATCTGTTAGAGTGAGAGATGATGAGACCAAAACAAGTTATATCTCAATGAGGAACTTTACAAGCGCAAATCTGAACCAGTCAAACACTGTAATAATGAGATTCATAAACCATTCATACACAATGCAACTGTGTAATAGTGAAAATGTTTATGCACAAAAAACCAATTTAAACTGTAATGCAAATCTTTAATTGAAAAGGAAAATATGATCTTTAATATCACTCAAATATTAATAATTTTTACAACTTACTCAAGTTGATGGTGGATCCAGTGAATATATCTGGACTCACAGTGGAAACCGCCTGTGAAATAGTGCTGACATCTAAAAAGAAGGAAATTCATGTCATGGGAGAAATAATTTTAAAAGATTTAAAATACTGAAATAAATGAGAAAATCACAGTACCTGTGCAGTATCCTGAACACCACATTTGTGGATTCACAAGTTCATAGACATAGTAATTGCCTGGACACGCTTTCACTCTGATGGGTTTTGTCTTGTAATCACAGCAGCTTTCCCAATAAGACCCTCCACAGACCTCCCTGATCACCACTCCATCCTCTATCTGAGGGTGAGGATCACTGAGCCACAGATTGATGTTTGTGTTACAGGAGAATGAACTAATACAGGTCTCTGACATCCGGATGTCCATTCCATAGTAGAAAAGCCGGTACCAGCCATTCCAGGAGAGCATGTCATCACAAATTTGACCTCCACTTTCATTGTTGGCTCTCCAGGGACGATCCAGAGACTCATAGTTGTAGCAGGGATCACTGCTGATGCTTTGGAAAGCAACTGTCATGGAGTTTGCAAAAGTACTGTTAAAATGTATTACATCCTAAAGAGCATAAGAGTTTTATATAAGACCAGTTATGATGGTTAATTACATTTTGAGCAATTATATTGTAACCAGTGGTGTACTGTCTGTCAGGCTAAAGTGAGGCAAGTCTGTCTGACAGAACCCTGTAGAACGGGACAGAGCAACACCTGAGGAGGAGCTACATATGACAAGAGGACTGTGGAGTAATATCACAATGTTATGCCAGGTCTAGGTGCTGATCTGTAACATAACCAACTATACAGAATGGATAACTGCACACCACTGATTCTAACTAGTTAAAATATATGTATTTCATAAAACAAAAGATGTGTGTCAAATTATCTAAAAGTTAAAGCATTTACAGATAAGATCTAAAGATAAGATTGAATATTGTACCTGCACAGTACATAGGCTGGGGGGCTGATATGACGGGTTTGACAAATTCATAGACGTAATAATCTCCTGGACAGGCTTTGACTCGGATGGATGAGGAACTGTAGGCGCCACACTCACGGGAATACCACCAATACCATGCATTAGTCCCCACGACATCACGGGTCACCACTCCATCCTCAAGTGTTGGATGAGAACCGTTGAGAGACAGTGCAGTTTCTCCTCCACATCTCACATTACTCACACACCACTCAGACATCTGGGCACTTTCTCCATTCAGATACAGCCGATACCAGCCGCTCCATTCAACAAGAGTGTCATCATTTCCATAGTACTGATATGGGCTTTGCCGTATGTCTCTCCAATATTCATCAAGAGTGTTATAATCATAGCATGGATCAGTTTTAGGTTCTGAGAGAAAAAGAAAAAGAGATTCACTACGGTGACAAACAGATATTGGGATGGTGAAATGAGGATGAATTAAAGGGGGTCATATTATGGTTCTAAAAATAACATTATTTTGTGTATTTGGTTTAATGTAATGTATTTACATAGTTTTAGGTGTAAAAAAAGTAATTATTTTACACATACTGTATATTATATGCCCCACCGACCTTTCTAAAAAGCAGTGATTTTTACAAAGCTCATCGTTCTGAAAAGCGCGGTGTGCTCTGATTGGCCAGCGATCCAGTGCATTGTGATTGGCCCAAAAAACTTAAGCGAGTGACGGAAATGTCACGCCCCTCACCATATCTGGAACATCAGCTCCCACAACAATGATGGAAATGCAGATGACTAAACAGCTGATCGATCAACTATACAAGCGGCTGGACCAGATCGTATCAGATTGGCAAAGTGTTATTTCATTGGAGACATATTTACTGATTATAATGATGACTAATCTGTCTTTGTATGAGTCACGACAGCTTTAGCCCTTCGGTTGCCCTAGGCGAAATTGAGTTTTGAAAATGATAAGTATTTATTAAACTAAACAAAAATGCTCTTATAGTCAAAAACTTCAACAAGCAAATTATGACTTAAAGGATCAACTGTAATAAATTGTTCATACAAATGCTACAAAACGTTCAAGGGACCCGAGTGCTCAGCTTGATTTAAAAAAAAAAAAAACATTTTAGCGCTAGATCTTTTATTTAATGCAAACATTGCACATTATGCAAGACTATGCACACTATGTAAGGTTGTGAGTGCAGAAACCAGTCTATGGCAAAGGCGCTCTGTCTGTGTGAGTGGTATTTACAATTACGACAGTTTTTTGGAGAAAAAAAACGTAATTCCTGCATAGTGTGCCTTTAATTCAACATGAATTAATGATAATTAAAAGTCTGAACTAATCATGAACCAATGAACAGCTATCCTTAACACCGAATGGAGTAATTATGGATTCACCCATGAATAATGGCATGAAAAACTGCATGTTTGATAATTATTTACAGTTCCAGCATGGTGATGGTCTCATTGTTAATACGTAGGTATTTTACGTTTTTGCAAAGATAGAAAACGTACTTTTTAGTACGTTTGGATAGATGCTGAAACGTATAATATACACATATCTGCAACATTTAAACGTAACATTATTACATTATACAGCTACAAAACGTTAACTATTTACGTATATTCTATATCATAAAGATATCTGTATAATTTCCCTTTTTACCATTTTATAGAAGATCCCGTAACCCTAATCCCAAACCTAAACATACCCATTTTATACATAATAGACAAAAATGATAAAACATAACGGACAGATGTGTTGGGAAATGGCAGTTTTATTAACAACAATATAGCATTAAAATATATTTTGAGCCACCAATCCTACTCCTACCCCTAAACCTATACCAATAACAATTCCTTAAAACTACGTAACAAACTACAATTATGAAGAAAAACATAACTAACAGACAAGTATAATGACAATAATGTATTTATTGCGAAAATGTCAAAACCGATACCAAAAGCCTTTCACATGATGAAGCGTTGCAGTCGCAGTCCTCTCTGGCAGTATTGTAATAGTTTTGTATGAAGTAGGCTACAGAGCAGAAATTAAATAACTAATCAAATGTTAATCCAGCCTCGGTTCGCGCTTCTCCATTTCAAATGAACTAAACCAACAACCAATTGTCACCGCCACCGGGTTCTTCATGTCGCAATCTGTGATGAAGCAGGGAAGAGCCAATTTGATATCACTGCCGTAAAACACAGCGTAACGCTTCTCAAGGGCACAATTTTTGAATTTGAATTCATCACCAGCGCGGGATTTGACATGTACGGTCACTACTGAGAATGGAGAGATCACGACTGGATAAGAGGCTGAAAGGGGCTGAATTAGGAGTTGTTTCTTGCAAACCAGAGCCATGTATTGAGAGAGTTGCGACACGCTTTGATGTCGCCGCAAGGCTGTCACGTGGTTCATGGAAGCCCCAATAGTTCCAAAACAGACGCGGGCTGTCATGCTCTTCAATGGACAGACAGCAGCGATTGCATTATTAATGTAACCGAGCTTTTGTATTGGGTTCGCCTAAACACTTTTAACTAATAAAATAATAAAAACGGGAGACAGAAGTTCCAGGAACAATGCAAAACTCTCTTTATTCTTTTTTTGAACACATGTGCTCCTCATTCCCTTATGCGCATGCTCCTCCCCTCTTGCCTATGGCAATAAGTCCCAAAGGACAGAATGTGTTACACACGCAAACAGAACATTACTGTAGCTTTAGCTTCTGTACCTACTTTAATCTGTTACATTAAGGTAAATATAAAATAAAACGCACA